CGTGAACTCGCTTCTAGACGCCGGTGCCGGCAAGGTTGCGGCAGAAAGTAACGGCCGCGCAGCTTGGATGTTGCAGGCTGCAGGAAACCGGCACTGAGGGTGACATCATCTGCAAAGCAAGAAAGAACACACCGAAAAGGCGTCCTGCCGTCTTGTTGATGTTGATACATTGCTATCACGACGAGCTATCTTGTCAAAGCAGCGGGAAGACAGGTCAAGTTCTATCTGCGCAAAACCTGAGCTCTGGACCCTGAGGCCGAAACCCTAAGACGAAGAAGCCCTGAACTATCCAATTATGTACGTACTTACGGCCCCTGTACCTACTGGCACAGCTCATCCAAGCACGATGTCGCGGACCCTCTGCCATCTTCATTGTTGCACGAAACCTCGGCCCGCAACTACAAGTAAAGCTTCTAGAGTCTTGCGCATATCTTCCTCCCAAGCCCAATCCCTAGCCTAACCCTAGTCTCGTAATTAGCTGTAACAGTTGGTGGCACTGTTCCGTACGTAGCACACGATCCACCCGCCGACCCTATTCGAATAGTTGAGGCAACATAGGGGTCTGCTTGGTTATAAAGGCATTATTCTCTTGCTTAGGGTCTAGGCCTGGATCCCCAAATTGCTCTAGTATCATACACCCCGAACACCCCTTTATACACATCCGTTCCCCATATTGTACCAAGTTTTCACCGGTTCAACCACTGGTGCGATGCCCGAACACTCAGATGCCCAGGCTTATGTAACCCAAAGGTGTACACGCCTAACAGCAGTCTGAGTAGTTGCCAATACTCTTACTATTGCAGTTTAGGGTTTATTATGTTGTGACCGTGAACTTTCTCTGGCCCGAGCGAACCACACACACACACACAGGGCCTGACTTTAAGGTGTCCATCAGGTTCGCTCGGTGGTAAAAGGGCCCTGAACCTTCAAACTCCAACATTCGAGCTTTTGGCACCCTATACATATACGTGCGCATCATAAACTTACTTGCATGCAGGTTTATGTGATAGTCTTTGTTGTACATATATATGTATATATACATATGTATCTGTTTATATATGTATATAAAAGTGAACATGTGTATAGATATGTATGTATATGTAGATGAACACCTTAATTTAGTGCACAGGTTCAGCTGAGACCAGGGAACCTCAGTGGCGACGTTTACGTGGCGGCTGGGCCCCCAAGGGCTGCTTCGAGGATGATTGAAACCTCGCAAAGCAAGGGGCCGAAAATGTCGAAGAGTAGCGTTCTTTAGGGCTTCTTATTCTGATAGCTGGAGAACATAGGGGCCGGAAATAATGAATACTAGTTTTCTTCCGTGTTCCTATGTGTGTCCTGTTTCTGATTATGCGGCAGTGACCGGACTTACGAATCCCGGCATTCAGCAGGGCTTCCTGTGATACCTGTGTGCTTTCATGCTTGATTTGCTTGTTCGAGTTGTGTTTTGTCAAATGTTAAGTAACTCTCCACTTTCTGCCGATAACTCAGTTGTCAAATGCCCGGCGGACTCTACATCCACCCACCATGGGTAATTATAAGTTGGACTATACGCATAACCCATACCAGGGGACTTACAACCGTACTTATAACTACCCATCCACCCACCCTTCATGCTCAAGCTTTCTGCGGTTTTTCCTCTGTCGGTGACTTTCCGCTGGAACTTCGGGCCGAATGGTGTCCAGTCTGCCGCATTCGCGCAGCACGGATGGATAGAAAGTTAGCTTGATTGGCAGCTATGTATGTGCTTCTTTATAAGCCATATACGTGTTCGAAAAGATGTATATGCAGAGATCAAGATCCCAGACTTCTCCCGAAGGCCTTTGCGCGGACACAGACGAGGCAGCCCGGTCCTGCGGCGGCGCAGCACCCAGTTCGGGTTCAAGATGCAACACATCCAGAGACCATGCTAAAAATCCCTCAGGCAGACAATGCCCTGTGGACCCCAAGCCTGAATCCGACCTTGCTTCGGGATTCGGCGGCTTAGGGTTAGGGGTCTGGGATGTCAGTGAAGTTGTTGTCGAAGATAAGCCGAAGGGAGTATCAACCGCAGACATATTCTGTGTCCAACAATTCCCCTAAACCCCAGGCCACGCTAGAGTCATAGATTAGGGTTCCCACAATAGGGTTCATATTAAGGAATAATCCCTACCTCAAGAATCTTAAACCCCCCTTTTGGCCTCCCTATAGAGAGCGAAGCCTACATGTCTTAAGCTTGCGCCGAGGCTGCCATGGATCGGACAGGCCTGGCTTTGAGGGTAAAGGGTTTGTTTGACATGGGTTTAGGGTTTAGGTGTTTTAGAGGGTTCGGGCTTACTTGGAGTTAGCACCCTTCGTCATACTCGCCGGAGTTCCCACAAAAAATCGACAAGCCGATTTACAGGTGGTGGCCTGATCTGAGCCATAGCTACACCTCACCTCAGGACTCAGCGACGCACAGCAGTAGCTCGCAGAATAAGCATAGTTCCCATTGAAAACCCCCTACCAAGCCCCAGAACCAGTTGTAGGGTTTAAGGTGCCCTTATTCCCCTTTTGTAGTCCTTATAAACTTACCCAATACGGAAGTAGGAGTGAAAAAACCCTAAACCACCAGCCCACGAAGGCTTGAGTTGTCTTAGGATACCCGAAGGCTTCGCCGGCTGCCTTGACGGATGCTTGCATCTCTTAGTCTTAGTATATTTAGGGGGGTTCCCGGAAATGGGCTACCCTAATTCTGTACCCAAAAAAATAGGATCCTTCTTCTAGAGACCCTCAAATAAGGTTCTCCTGAATTTCGGAAACTGCAAACCGCTGCTATAAGCACAGTCTTTAAATACTATTAAGATGACCAGGCTTATTGGATGGTTAATGCTCGTGTTTAACAGTGTTATGAGTTTCGTTTCGGTGTCTTAAGGCTTCCTTGATGATGACAAGTCTTCTCGCTTTGGCTCGGTGATTTTTTGTAGCTGCAGCGCCCATGTCCACAGAGGGCTCAGGTTGCGATTTGATTAGCGAGATGAGATGCCTTCGCAACACTGAAGCTGCGCACAATCAAAGGGGAAAAGGAGGGACCCTTAATGGAGACCCCTACCCTATAATGGGCTATACAATGGGTATATAATGGCTATACTATGGTAGGGGTCCCTCCTTGTGCCCTTTGACACAAGAATGCAAAGCAAAAAGCAGAGTCCAGGTCACCCCGGTTTAGAACAACCCTAAGGGAACAAAAAGGCTGCCTTGAACCTTCAAGTCCCATGGGGGCCTGAAAAACTATTAATGCTATCCCCTTATCATGCCTAGATAATGGATACTAAAGTACACCTCCACAGCCCGATTCTAATCATTCAGTCCTCTATGTTAGATTTCTTATGGTAACCCTTATCGGGTCCTTTCCCTAGGGATCAATAGCCCAAAAGCCTTAGATAGTATGGTCTTTGGGCCCACAAGCCTTGATATATGAGTCCTTAGATCCCTAGGGTTTTAGGATTCCTTGAACCTTAAGGCGCTTTAGAAATCCGAAATCCGAGAGGTAAACCTCAGTTCTACATCCGTCCGGGGCTCGTTGACATGGCTGCTCTCAACAAGCCGGGGACCCCGAGGCAACAGCCCGCTTGAGCTCCTTGGGGCTTCAGTGGTTTGACGGTTTTGGGCTTTTTAGGGTTTTAGGCGGTTTTCGGGTTTAGGGTCTACCGGATGGGACGTGCAGCAGCCTGGACATGAGTGCTTGTGAACTGCAACCCCTCTTCGAAAAGGATCTAAGGGTGGGATTCATGTTAATAGGATAGACATCCAGCAGTTCATGTTGTTGACCTTTACCTTCTCACAACGAGAGAGTATGAAATACTGCCCCCTTCAACATACACCTAAATGTGCCTTGATTTGCAATCGTTGTTACTAGGATGCGTTATTCATGTTATGAACCGTGCGTGTGTCTGTGTGTACATGCACATTTTGCTGGCAGTGTCGTTGACTGACTGTTGTGATGTTACTTGGAGGATCGAGGGACTTAGTAAGTAGATAACACCTAATCGGGGGTGTGATACTGGCAACTCTGTACCACAACTAGTTAATCAGTCCCCCGACCCTCCAAGTAGGGTCGAGTCGAGGGCTTTGGGCTGGTGAAACTCCACCTCAGCTTCCTCCTTCGGTTTAAGGGGCGGCGACTGTATGCGTTCGGATCGTGGGGCTTTAGGGTTTTGGGTTTCGCAGCAGGCCAGTTAGTTGCAAAAGTGTTTTGAGCTACTTGACGCTTGCGGTTTCCCGGCATATTTGCCAAGGCTTGGATCGGGCTTTATGGCGTCGTGGTTTTAGGGTTTAGGATTTATCTGGCTTGTCCTCAAGCCCAGTAGCAAAAAAGGCTTCGGGGTTTTAGGGTTTGGGTTTTTTCTGGCTAAGGCTTGAGCAGCAGAAAATGGACCTCCGCTTCCGCCGGGAGACTTTGGCCGACCAGCGGCGACAACGGCCGAGGGCTCGGTGCGTGCACAAGGCCTTCTTGCGCTTTCTAGATATGGTGGTCGCCGAAAATAGGGGATCCGAATATGGTACCCTAAATAGTAGGATCCTTATTACAAGCGCCCCAAAATATGGTAATTACTGCTAATTTTGCAGAAACTCCCATATCATCGGGAGCTTCACAGTTCACAGTGTTGTTTTCGGATGCTTGTAATTGTGTTCTAGCTTATGGGTAAGGGCTCTATCGGTGGTGATAGAAGTTGTTTTTGTCTTGATGGGGGCTTTGGAGCAACTGTTTCAATATGCCTTCCAGGGGTTCCGGCAAGACATGTTCTGATTTTTTGCAGTTTGGCCAGATGTTCCACCCATTGTGCAGGCTGCATGGTGCTTGCATTTGTAACCACAGACATGCGCAGTGTATTTACACCTGCATAACCGAAATCTACGGCTCAAGGCGCAACCTCCCCACGACCTTGGCAAAGCATCCGCTAGAGAAGCAGCTCGCAGCAATGGCAGCCGTTTGCCCGATTTGCTTCGAAGACGATGGTCAGCCTGTTGTGTATGCCACCATGCACAACCACAGCTGGCAGAACCGACATTGTGATGCTCATGGCATTTGTTGGAAATGTCTGAACCGCTATGTGGAGATGCAGATTCTGGAGGAGGGCCGGTTCAACCTCAAGTGCCCCGGAATCGGTTGCAACTACCGCCTCCTCCCCCTCGACGTGGAGAGGGCCTTGGAGGCATCGGAGCCGGAAAGGCAGCAGGTGGCGCTGGAGCGCTACGGAAGCATGCGCAGCGCGAGCCATGAAGAGAGGCTTCGGGAAGTCGCCCTTGGAACATCCGGGCCTTCCGAATGTTGGCTGCTCCAGGAGTGCCAGGCTTGTCCTCGCTGCCTTTCATTGGTTCGGCGGGAGACTGGCTGCCTTCACGTCTTCTGCCGCTGCGGTTGCGACTTCTGTGCCGGCTGCGGCAGTCCCGACGAATGCCTTTGTGCTTCGCTGGACAAGGACCGCGACGTCGTCTTCGCAGCATGGCTTCGGATTTCCCCAGATTCGCCAGTTGCATGGCTGAGGGACATGCCCAGCTCCGACATGTCGGAGGAGCGACTTCTGGGCACCTTGGGCTTCTTCCTCTGGATGGCTTACCTTCCCGTGGATCTACCCTGGACACGTGCCCTGGAAGAGCCGGAGCATTCCCTCCCGCCCGTCCGCTGGCGATACTTCCACTCAGACTCGGGATGGTTTGTCATGACGGAGGAGGAGGCCTTCAACAGGGAGAGATTCCCCGAGGTTTTGAGGCACCCACTCAGCTCTTGGTGGAATGGGATTGACGGCGACGAATCCGAGAACTGGTTCCAACACTATCGGCGCGCACCCCGTCGGCCCTGGCGTCTCTTCGCCACTCAGCGCGGCTCTCGGCGACAGGACCGGCACCACTACACGCCTCTGCGCTGGAAAGACGTCAGGGCCTGGACCGGCGATGATGCAGCTGTGCCCCTTCGTCGCCGAAGGCAGCCGCGAGCTGTGGCGACCGCCGCGCGCTCCGCAGAACCCACAGCAGCAGCTGCCCGCAAGGTTCAGGAGCAGCGCAAGCGTCGGCAGCAAATGCGCAGCCGCTTCAGGGAAGAGCTGGTGCAGTTGGACTGAGGGGAGTTTCGGTAGTAGTCGTCATCTTGAAGGCGAGCTTCCTTGGCTGCTGCAGATAGGAAATCAAGCCATCCTAGCAATGAGCGTTTAACATACTATCCCGAGCCGTAGCCTTTATAGCGAGGATGTAGCATCTGCATGTCATCTTGGTAGCCAAAGCAGAAGCTCTTGCGTCTAACGGGTAGTTTCAGTTTCTGTTCCCGCATGTTTCCAGGCACCTTCTTCTAGATTGCCAGGTGCCGGTTTTTGTACAGTGTACAGATTTCCCATTCAAATTCTGCTTGCAGCCCGAGACGTGTTAGCGATTTGAGTGTCATCATGCCGCAGAATCTTATGTGGCATGCTTTATACATGTACAGAGATTTGCCTCAGTCTTGGTTTGTCAATTGATTGGAATTGGGCTTCCAAAAAAGGCCCGAGTTTTGCTCGGCCCAGTCTGTTGTCACTGGGTGCTTCGTAACTCTGGACAAGCGAACTGCATCAGGCAGTCGGGCGCTCCCGAGAGCTGTGTGTGCATGGGTTTGTCGATCAGGTTGCACCTAATACAGTGCAAGCTTCAGACTCCTTCTCTGAGGTATCCAATACCATCACAGGTCGAGTACACTGACATGATGAATTCGCAAGTGCAAGGCGCGCTTAGCATCGACCGTCTTGCTCTTGCAGGGAGAGGGCTGAAGTTCGCGCATTTTGTCGATGGGATTGCCAGCCTTTTGGCTGCCACTACTATAGGGGCATTAATAATTACCTATGCTTTTTGGGGGGTTCCTGATTATAATAATAGTAGGACGTACACCATAACCCTATTCCAATTGTGAAGGTCCCTATATTACTCTGCTCGCACGCACCACACTTCCAATCCCAGTCAGAAGATGTCAACTTTGACCGACTGAGGGATGTTGAGAATGCTCCTCTTCAGGCAGTCTCAAGCCCGTTTCAGAGCCTCACTGATAGGGCTTTTTCGTTGAGGATTGGCAGACTTCCTGAGGTTCGCAGACCCGAGGCTTAAATTCCAACACGCTAGACCCGCATGACAGTCCGAATCCACGGACACTCCAGGAAGGGCTTGAGAAACCTTCAGCTGGACCGTTACAGGCAGCAGGCCAGTTGCAATACAGAGCAAGAGACACCAGCAAAGCTACATTCCTACAAGCGTTGTCGCTTGCAACGGAGATGGTCATGATCGGAGTCGTGAAGAATGTGAGAAGAGCAAAAAGTAAGCAACATTCTTCTAATCATCATGGCGGTCGTGGCGTTCGAAGGCCTGCGAGGAAAGGTAGCAGTTCATACCGATACATATAAACAGACAAACAGAAAGGTTCAATGGCAACGTAGTACTGTTAACAATATCTGCCTGCCAATAATCAGACTGTGTTTTGCAGCCACCGGGTGTCAAAGTCGCGGCAGTCGTTGTCCGCCTGAGTACTATCACCTGGCCAGGCGTGTTTCACAGACATATTCACCACCATGTTCATTACTATGACGAGATGGGCGAGTCGCGGCCTCAGCCTGCTTTCGGGGAGCGGTGCAGGGAGGGAGCCAGCGAGAGTGAGCGAGGGTGGGCGGGGGCAGGGGCCCATCATCATCAGCAGCAGCATCATCAGTATACTTCTCAATTGTCAATTTTCGCGTGCATTGACGCATATCACTAGCATGATGAGCATCACCATGTTTCCGAGCACGACCACGGGGAGGTTCGTTCTTGTTTCGATGGTGACCATCCACAGTTCCGTCGTTCTGTCATGACGAATTCGATACCGAAGGCTCTCGCGACGCCGTGTGCGTGTTGGTGGTTTCCCAATCCCGGCGCCCTAGAGCAGAGAGCCCAAAACGCATCAACTGGCAGTCGGCTGAGCTTTTGGATCCCATTTGCGGAGGCTTTGCTCATCGCCTGCAAGCTCCCACAGAAGAGATACAGTAGGATAGTTAAGTATGGTGCACTAGTTAGAAGTGGTATCCTCGGTTTTTGCTAGCTAGATTGCAGCATCTTCGGCCATGGGCAAGACTGTTGAAGGTTCTGTGATGTTGTGTGACTCGTGTGTTGGGTCACACTACGTTGCCAGGTGTCACCAGTAGAGATTGCACAGAGTTTGAACTGTCGCGGCTACGCATGTCATTATTCGTTTGAGTGCCTTCGATATCCTTCGCTCCTGGATCCTGGTAGAAGGTTCTGTGTAGCTACTTTCTTTCAAGCTTGTGCAAATAAGCATGTAATTGCAAATATGCATCATGCAGACGTAGAGCTGCCAGAATTGCGGGATAACCTTATTCGAGCTAGGGTGGTCCCAAACTCAGCTTCTTCGCGATTCTTCGCTTCTACCCAGACTCTATAAACCCGCATGGGTATCTTGGTTACTCAATCCGCAATTGAGACCTCGGCTCATTCGACCGAATCCGCCTAGGCCAGCTCCGGCCCCGGATTATAAGCGATTTAAACACGCACAAGAGGAGAAGTTCTCCTTGAGGGTGTTTGATTTAGACTTTGGAGGGCCCGAAACACTGAATCCGTACTCCGGAAGCTCGAATGCAAGGCCACAGCCCGAAGCCTATCCGCGCAAGCTTTCAGGCACATACTGCTCGGAGGGGTTCTTTCAGGTCTAGGGCGTAAGGTCATAGGGTTTTGGGGCGAACCCTCACCGCAAGCTATAGGCTGTTGTTACAAATATCAGACTCTTACTTTCCCTGCCGTTCAGACTTCGACCATTGGTTTGAGAATTGTTCCCATAACTATACATCAATACCAACGACACGGTTAGATGATTGCTGTTGACATGCATGGCTTTGAGCTTGGAGTTTTTGTCTCGTCCGATAGTTCCGCGAGTTGCATGTACAGTGGTGGCAACGCTTTTTCGTCTCTCGTAATATACGGGCCAGAAGAACAGTATAAACGTAGTAATTGTGAGGGATGTATTATTAGTTGCTCAAGAATGGTTGGGACTCGGCGTCTTGAATTCAGAGGCTTTGTGGCAGGGCTTGCGAAGCTGAAGTTTGTTGGGCATCAGCTCCCGCCGTCAACAATCATGGACCCGGCCCGAGCCCGAAAACCTTCCTTACTAGACTCTACAAACTGTTAGCTGCATATCAAAAACTGAGTGAACTTTAATTGCCTTGGGTGCTTGGAGTGCTCCCGGCTGTAACTTGGCACTCGAGGAACGAGCGTCCTCGACCTTCGTTCCTAAACCCACATCACGCTGCCCTGCAGTACTTGGAGGTTCATGGGTAGGTATAAGTAGGGTTAGAAGTAGGCTAACTATACTTATAACCCATATTCGGGACCCCACTTACAACTACCCAAATGTCACATCTTCTCCGCAGGTGCAACCCTGGAGCCTCTGAAGGAGCTAACTTGGGGGTTTGTGGAGTTGGGGAGCGAGTTTGAGGGGTTTTGAGGTTTCGGATCCCTTTGTTTCTAGTTCCTTCCTCAACCGTCAAAACAAAACTAACATGCCGAAGTGTATGAACGCAGGGCTATCCCCTTACTGGGTAAGAGATAGGCGCAAAGCATTTGCGGCTTTATTTGCTGTTGCTTTTAGGATTTGTAGTTCAGGGTATTTGGGGCTTTTGGGTTTTCATGGTGGTAGAGTGTACACGGGGTGCAGGTCTTGATGGTGATGACGAGCGCAGTGATCGCGGATGACACGGTGATGACGATGACGAGGATATTGATGATATTACCAAGAATAACAAGAAAAACAAGACGAAGAGTAGTAGTTATAATCACCATACTACCAACAATAAAAAATGTGCGTTTGATGCTGCCGGAGCTCCGCAGCTGTGCTTCAGGAGGCCCCTGCAAGCAAGACCAAGAAGGTGGGCCAGAAAGGCAAGAGCAAGCTGGGGGCCCCAGAGTTTCCCAAGGAGACTCCAATAATATCCCGAAGGAAAATTCCTTAAATTCTAGTAAGATCCCCAATATGATTTAGGGAATACTCCTTATTTAAGGGATATCGGCGTCGCTGGGTTCTGAGCTGGGGCTTCTTTGGCTCTCCCTGGTTGGAGGCATCGGTGGAAAGTTGGGGTCAAAGCTCCCGGCTTGAAGCCTTTCGTACACCAGCTTGAGGAAGCTAAGCTTGCGATGCCTGCCTCTAACTCTAACCCAAGCTTTTAGCCGAGGGTGGAGATGGGCTAAAAAAAAGACGTCGTCCACAGCAGGGGCGAATACTGATGATGCGTGGTGGTTGACTCACAGGAAATGCACATGAAGCGGAGATTTCGCTAGCACTGCTCCTGATTTAGGCCGGCTGCCTGGCATTGCCCGCCCGTTGGACTCTACGACTCTAACGCACCCCCAATGCCTTCCATCTCCCTCGGCTAAAGTTACTCCGTCCACGGGGCTTTGCAACTGGAGGTTGTTTTGGAGGTCCGCCGAAGGGAGGAACCACAGTTTCTTACCATGAGATCTTAACCGAGGGGAAACTTAATTTGTGACACTTATGAGGACAGCTCTAGAGTAAAAGCCAGAAAGTTGGAATATGATTATCCTAAACCCTTTATGATAAACTACAGGGGATCCTACCATTAATCCATATTCCAACTTTCTGGAGTTCCCTTTAGAGTAACCCTAAAGCCTTCAAACCCTGAACTGGTCTATTGGACAACTGCCCAAATTCATTTTACTTGGGCGTAATCCAGGGACAGCTCTCGAATCATGACCTCTTGGAGGTTCATGGGTAGTTATAAGTGGTGCAAAACGTCCCCTAGTATGGGTTATAAGTATAGTTACCCTACTTATAACCCTACTTATAGCTACCCATGAACCTCCATCTGGGTTGTTCGGCAGTCCCTCTGGAGAGGGTGCAAAAAGAGATTCTGCACAAGAAATACAAACGGTGCCCCTACAGCAAGGATGCGAGTACTTGGCGCCTTAGATAGGATTCGCGGTAATTATGTCGGGATTATGCTGCAGTGCTACAGTTTGCGCTTGTCTTGGGATGCCATGACTACCGGCACAGGGCCTGCAAGGCAATATCTGGCGGCCATCGAAACCAGAAGCCCAAACTATA